AAAAATTATATTTATTACATTTTTAATTTATATATCTAAGATAAAAATTATATTAACATTATATTAATTTTAATGTGAAAGTTAATTATAGAAGAGAAGAAAGCTCGAGTCAATTGCAGTGTGATTCTTTTCTTCCTAAACATAAAATAAATAAAATTTTATGGGAAAATTTTCAAAAGATTTAAACCGTTTGGTTGAACGGTTTGTATCGGTCTGAATAGTTTTATTGGTTTTGAATGGTTCAACCACTTTATTGGTTTTAAACCTTAACCTGAACCGTTTATTGTATTGGTATTGGTCTAACCGATTCAATCGACCAGTCCGGTTAGACTTTTAAAACATTCCCATATACTTTAGTAAATAAATTAGAAATTTGAGTCCTTTATTTTAACATTTTAAGGACTAAATTGATTAGAATTAGAATATGCGGACCTTATGTGAAATTTTGAGATAGTTAGAGACTATCAGATTATTTTACCCAAACTTTGAGACATGTGACAATTTATGAATGAAGTCACCGGAGGCTCTAGAAGATTTTAGAAAAGAAAATCTTCATTTCTTCTCTTAACCTCCCAAACTCATTCCCCTTTCTTTTCCTGGCCGTGAGGGTTAAAGGAAAAGTTGTTATCTTCACTTGCAGTGCTCTCCTTGAATTTCCTTTCAATTTCTGCTGGTCTCCTTCAAGTTGGTGCTTGATTCCCATAGGTAAGTATGAGTTTTTGTTATAATATTGGGTTATAGTTGCGTAGATTATAGATTTATCATAATATACTAGAAATTAGTTTAAATTAGGAGATTTGACCCCAGCTTTGTAGTTTAGGAGATTTTTGGGCAATAAAAATTGTGTTAGAAATATAAGACATTGTAGGGCTTGCACGGGAATGACTTCATGATGTGTTTAATTTTCATACTTGAGTTTATTGTGAATTTAATTGATAAATACTGCTATGGACTCCATGTGCTTGCTTTGTGTGGTGATTTCTTACGAATTAATATGGCAAAATAATTTCATAATGTCTATTTGGTAGTTGCAGTTACTGTTCATGCACGAATCACTGGTTACATACTAATTATTGTTCACACTATACTTTAAATTTTGTCGATAGGAAGTTCTATGGAATATGTGAGTTGTGTAATTGGATTAATGGATGGAATTTTATTCCTAAATTACTTTTGGATGTGTTTGGAATTTCTTTGACATTTGTATGTGTTTGTGGTTATGGAGTAAGTGA